TGACAGGTCCCAACAACTTGGAGATAGATCATTAATGGAATTCCATAGCCATCTACTTTTTGCCCTGTGCTATTTTACCATTTTCATCAATTATAAAAACTAGCATCCATATGACTCTTTTAGGTTTATGAAGTACTTTACATATGTTAACTCATTTGATCTTTAGAACAGCCTTGTGAGATAGGTGCTATTATTAACCTCGTTTTACAATGAGGAAGTTGAGGCACAGAGAGATTAAGTAATTTGCCTAGTATCAAGTAGCTAGCATTTGAGGCAGGATTTCAACTCAAGTCCTTCTGATTCCAAGTCCTGTGCTCCATCCACTGGATCACTTAGCCAACCTAACTTGACCAAAGGCACAGAGGGTATGATTATCAAATCTGGAGACAACACAGAGCTGGGAGGGAGAAAAAGCTAACAAATTTGATGATGGAGTTCAGGATCCAAAATTTAATAGAAATAAATGTAAAGTCCTACAGTGGGATTAAAAATAAATCTACTTTGCTTGTAAAGAATGATAGGAATAATTTATATTTACATAGTGTTTTAAGGCTTGCAAAGCCTTACATTGTGTTTTTTTTTTTTTCATGAAGGTAGTGCAAATATTATTCCTATTTTGCAGACTAGGAATTCAATGCAATAAATATCTGCAGAAGAAAAAGGGAGTCATGTCTAGAAAATAGTTAGATTAAAAAAAAACAACTGGGGGTTTTAGGATATTATAAACTTCATGAGTCCACAGTGCAACATGGCCACCAAGACCTGATGTGATTCTTATCTAAAGTAACCTTGCGTCTGTTTTGTGTGTATTTTGCATATACCTCTTTATGTACATGTTATCTTCCCCATTAGAAAGTAAGCTCCTTGAAGGCAGAGACAGTTTTACTTTTGTGTTTGTATCTCTAGTGCCTAGCAGAGTATTTAGCACATAGTAAGTGATTCTTTGATTGATTAGTTTGCCTTGGAAGGTATAGCATTCATGACTCTGGAGAGTTCTACTATCTTCTGCTCTGTTCAGACCACATATGGAGTATTGTGTTGGTTTGTGGTGACACATTTGAAGAAGGTAATTGACAAGCTAGTTTTCCCCAGAAGATAGTGACCAGGATGGGTCAATGGCCTTGTGATCATGTCACATGGAGATTAAAGAAAATGGGGGTGTTTAAAACTAGAGAAGAAAAGGTTTAGGTAGGACACTATAGCTATCTTTACTTATTTGAAGGACTGACATGAGGAAGAAGGTTCTGTTTGGCCCCAAGGGGCAGAATTAAGAGTAATGAGTTGCAGTAAAAGAGAAACAAATTTGGGTTCAATGCAAGAGGAAAAAGCTTCCCCCAAAATAGAGCTATACAAAAATAGAGAGGGCTGCCTCTTCATTGGCAGAGACTGACTGTCTGCAGAGTGTGTGGTAATGTGGATCCTTTTGGAAGTATGCATTGGAAAAGCTGATCACTGAGACAATTAGAACTGTACTAACCTGGAACTGACCATCTTTGGGGGTAGTGAGTTCACCTTTACTAGATCTCTTTAAACAGAGGCAGGATGACCACTTTTCTCTGTTATACAGGAAATTCCTGTTCAGATGTAGGATGGACGCTGAGGTTACTTACAATTCTAGAATCTTATAATTTCATGAAATAACACAATTCCTGCCCCCAGAGAGCTTATGTATGACAGTGTTCATAAATCTCGCATGTACTCATATTCTGTTTTGAATAATATTCTCACTCTCCCCCAGGTTGTGAGCTCCAAGATGGGACGTACTATAGTTTAAGATTATAGGATCATCAATTTTAAAGCTGGAAGGGACCTAAGAGGTCATCTAGTTGATTTTAGTCCAGCCTCCCTATTTTATAGTTTAAGAAATGGAGACTCAGAGAGACTAAGCTACTTACCCAAGGTCAGAATCCAGAACTGAACCCAGGTCCCCCGATTCCAAATCCAACTTTTTTTCCAATTTTACTAAGCTGTTTTTCTCTTATCTCTGTTGCACCTACTGTCTGTCACAAAATCATAAATATAGTATGGAACTGATCAATGTTTGTTGAATTGAACGATTACCTGTCAAAAGACAGTCTTTTACCTTTATTTGGGGGTGGGGTGGGGGGAGGTTACTCTAAAAGGAAAAGAACAGTCATAATGGAAAGAGAAATTATAACTGCTCTATCCATAACTTCAGTCCTTCAGGGATCTATGACTTCTTCAGCATAGGAACTTTCTCCACCAACTCAGATTATAGACTCACTGTGATTTAGGGGATGGTTTTCTAGAAGTTGTGTACCTGAACAATTCATCAACCCATATCCAGACTGTTGCTGTAACTTTTTATGCCTAACTAGGCTGGTCCTTGAACAAGACATGCCGTTACTGGATTTGGGAAGCCTTTCCATGTTTACAGCAACTGGCTCCTCCTAAATGGCCTTTGAGAACCCATCACTCAATGAGGCATTTTGGAGTGGACTTTAATAATGTGAGAAGGGGAATATCTATCATTACTATTCTATTATTACTGTACTTATCATCATTGTGTTTATCATTAACTTTCTCTCCTTCATGCTCTCCAATGGATTTTAGGATTAACTGTGAAAAATAAAGTTTTATTATTATTTACCATATAGACAAATGGATCACTGAAACTTTATGACCATCAAGTTTCAATAGCTATTTTAAAATAAAAGGTTTCTGTGACTTTCAAAAGTTTGACTATCTCTTTATATAACCCTCAGAGGACACTCAGAGGATCTGCATTTAGCTGTGGTCTCAGAGGTCATGTAGTCTATTTCATTTTGCTGAAGGCGAAACTGAAGCTCCCATAGGTCAGAAAACTTGACCAAGATCCCAAGTATAGGACTCAGGCTTCAAAAAACCCTCTAACTCTAAATGCAAAGATGTTTCTTCCACATCCCTATGACTTCCCTGAAATCAGTTAGTCAGTCACTATGTGCCTACTAGGAGCCAAGTGCTGTACTGAAGGTATAACAAAAGCCAAAAGACAGTCCATACTCTCTGTTTAATGGAGGAGACAACATGAAAAACAGTAAGTATGGACAAGATATTTACAGGATAAGCTGGAGAGAATAGAGAGAAAGCATAGGAATGAACGGGGATCAGGAAAGGCTTCTTGTAGAAGGTGGAATGCTGTCCTGTGATGGCTCTTATATTATTGTTCTCAATTTTAATTTAACTTCTTTGTTAGCCTCTCTTCCCCACTAGATTGTTTGCTTTCTGAGGGAAAGAACAGTGTTTTTTTTCTTCCTTTTATCTCCCTTTAGTGTCAGGCTCATAACTTGGCAGAAGGGGATGCTGAGTAAACATCTGTTGAATTTAAAGAATAATGGTGGTGGTGGTGAAAAATGGAGCCCTTCTCTTTTCTTCTCCAGTGGGAGAAGCCTTCCCCAAGTAGACTTCAAGCTCAGGGCACCTTTCCTGGGGGATCATCTCACCGTAGAGCAGTGTGTTTAACCTGGATTCTGGGCTCAGGTCCTCCTGAGGCTGGTACCCTACACCTTGTTTCCAAATTCCTCCATAGAATGTTGAAATCAGAAAGAGCCTGGGAAGTCATCATCCGTCTTTGAAGCCCTCTTATGTTACAGATCAGGAAACTGAAGCTCAACCACAGGAAGTGATTTGCAGAAGGCCACACTGCTAATAGTGACGAGGCAAGAACTTTAACCTGTCTCCCCTGCCAAAGTCCAGCGCTGTTTCCACCACACTGATCTCTTTCCCTCTGACATATAACTAAGACTCAAGCTCTCTAAATGGTGTGGTTCCTTCAGGTCTTGAGAAGTTCTTTGGGCATTTGTCTGTAGGGTGTCTTCAGGGAATGTTATGAAGGGTCCTTAAGTACTCCTCTGTTCCCCCAACTCTCCCCTTCCTCCTACTGGGGGCTCTAAGGCAGCCAAGGGTTAAAGACTTCTCTGGCCAAACCCCGACGCCCCCTACCCAGACATGGATGTGTTTCCTTCCTCCCTCCTCGGGTCCACTCCATGCTGCATTCATACTTTGTAGTCCTAGAGGGAGAGAACCTTAGAACTTGGGACGGGAGATATCAGAGTCGGAAGGAGCCTTAGAACCAGAAGGTCCCTTTAGGATATGGAATGCCCTTAGAACGCAACGTCAGGCCGTGATCTTTGGATAAACGGGGTAGGGAAGTGGACGGCATCTTGGAACGTGGACGGCCAGAGCTCCGAGGGACTTCGAAACATGGAAATGCTGTTGCTGAAAAAGCCCTCGAAACCTAAGCTATTGGGGCAGAGGAGGGGCTCTTAAAGGTCACCCCTGAGGCTCATTTTGGGGAGCAGAGAACGAAAGTGACTTTCCCAAGGTCACAGGGCTACCCAGCGGCAGACAAGCGAGATTCCGACCCAAGTCTCCCGAGCTCTTTTCCCCACGGCGTCCTGCCTTCCTCCCAGAGCCCTGAGAGGGCCAGCCTGCCACGGCCAGTCCCTGGAGGTGGGGGTGGACCGCGTGGGGGAGGGGAAAGGGGGCGAGGAGGAGGCCAGGGGCAGGGCGGGGTTGGGCGCTCTCCTCCTTTCCTTCCTCCCCTTCCCCGTGGGGGCGCGTGTCTTAGAGTCGCTGCGGGCAGGGTGGGGGGGTAGGTGAGGGCGGGGGGTGTCGCTGCTGCTGCTGCTGCTGCTGCCGCCGCCGCCGCCGCCGCTGCTGCCGCCAGCAGGGCGGCCCGGCAGCTCGGGCAGGGCAAGGCTGAGCTCGGCTAGGTGGGCTGCGCTCTCCCGCTCGCTCGCTGGGCTGAGCTCCTGAGGGTGGGGGGACGGTGGCGGGGGGGGGGGGAGTGTTGCTGCTGCTGCTGCCGCCTCTGCTGTTACGCCAGCCTCGCCGCCTCTCGCTCTGATTCTGCGCATAGGCAGCCCCGGAGCCTGTCATTCTGCAAAAACACAGTTTACTCAACACACACACACCACACACACACACTCACACACACACACTCACACACACACACGCACACACGCACACACATTCACACACACACACTCTCACTCCTCGCACACTCACACCCTCGCGCGCGCACGCACACACACTCACACTCCGGGAGCAGAGCGAGGAGGCAGAGAGAGGGAGCCGACGAGAGCGGGGCGCAGGGCGCGGGGAGCCCCAGGCACACGCACCGAGAGCGAGCCAAGTTCCGCAGCCCAGCATGGCTTCGGGGGACCTTTACGAGGTACGCTACGCTCAGCCCCGCGAGCCGGGAGCCGCGGGCACGGCTGGCCGCGGGCGGGGGGCGGCGCGCGGGGACCCTCCGGAGTTCTCCCGGCAGAGGGCTGGAGAAGGGGAAGGCAAGGAGGGGAGCAGGGAAGGGGGCGCGAGGGATGGAGCGATCTCTTCCCTCCTCTTCTTCCTCCTCCTCCTCCTTTTCCTTCTGCTCCTCCTCCTCTTCCTTCTCCTCCCTGCTTCTCTCCCTCCCTCTCCGTCTCTTGCTCCCTCTTTCTTTTCCCCACTCTCGAACTCAAGCTACTTTGCGCCAGCCCAAGGCCTTGCAAGAAGGAAGAGGAGGAGGAGGAGGAGGAGGAGGAGGAGGAGGAGGAGGAGGAGGAGGAGGAAGGGAGGGAGGGAGGAAAGGCGGGCGGGCGGGAGGGAGGACGAGGGGGAGAGTTAGCGGTACTGTGGGAGGTGTTACTACCGCGAGGAGCCGCGGCGGCGGAGAGTGGAGAAAGTCCAGGTAAAGTCGGAGCTGGACGTGCCGGATTTGCAGATTAGGGCTGCGTGGTGGCTGGGGGGGGGTGGAGTGGAGGGCGACGTGGGTGTGAAGCGAATTAATTCCTTCCCTCTGCTTTTGGAGGGGAGCTGGTGGCCGGGAGGAGAGGGAGTGCCCGCAGGGGGGCCGAGGTCCAGTTCCTGATCTGGACAGGCTTGGCAGAGGCGGTATATTCATCCTGGACGGGTTGCCAGGCCAGTCTGGGGTAGGAGGAGCGGAGAGGGGCTTAGGAGGACCTCCCTGGCACTGGATGGGATGTGGTCAAAGACTGGGCGGACTTGGTTCGTGTTCCTTCTCACACCTGCTGCCTCAGTAAGGCCTGGAGTCTCCGAGGGACTTGAAGGTGTGTTTTTGGATGCCACACCCAATGATGAGCAAGAGGAGGGGGGATGGGCGGGGGCCTTCGGTGGAGGGAAAAGAACCTGGAAAGTCACCAGTGGAAGACTTGCTTCTTAGAGAACCTCAGGTGTGACTGTTGTCTTTGGAGTCTCCCCCCTTGGCTACAGGTAGAGGGACAGGTGATGGTGAGCTTGGGAAAGTTTTCAGACATCTGAAGAAGTTCTGAATCTAGGTGGAGACACTGGCCTTGGCGTTTTGTGGGACTCCGAAGGGAACCCAACGGCCAGTGGGGAGCTGGGTCTGAATCAGTTTTGGACTTTTTTACACCTATTTGGGATTATGTTAATGTGAAAACAAACGAAATACCAAGAGTTTTCTCCATTTCCCCCCCCCCCCAAATACCTTTCTTCCTCTTTGCTTCCTCCTTTAGTGGGAGACTAGGACCTGGCAAAGGGGAATGTTTAGAGAGAGAGAGAGACTGGACCTGTGATTTCATTAGCATAGGGAATCCCAGTTGAGGGGACCCCTATCAATAGAGATCAACATCTTTTCTGCAATTTATAAGTTTAGAGATTTGCCTAGAGCACTAAAAGTGTAAGTGATTTGCCCAGGGTTACTCATCACCAGGATGTGTCAAGACAGTATTTGAATCCAGTGCTTCCTGACCTGGCCTTTCTATCTACTACAACCTATTACCTCTCAGGCAGGAGGTTGTTGGTTAGGACTAGGGAGGACTTTAGTTGGGATTTTCAATCCCATGTTCTGTTGATAATTAGTGAAATATTCTTGAGGACGTGAGAAGCCCTCATTGTCAGCAAAGATGAAGATGGCTTCCTTGATCGTCCATCGCTGAGCAGTCCCAAACCTTGTCTGAATCATGGGAAGGGCTCTGGCTAGTCATTTCTTCTATCTAATTGGGAAGGAACTCCCACAGATGCCTTTATAAACTTCAAGTCTTTATGCTACAAGGTCCATGCAGCCATTCTACATTCTATATATTGACTTGGGCCTATTCAGAAAGTTGAAGCTTTTCCAGAAGATGCTTTGGGTGGTTGATTGTGAAAAGAGAATTGCCAACATGAAGGATTGAGCTATTTAGCTTCCTTTCTAGGAGGGCCTCCTAGACATCTGGTAGGCTTGAGTGCACCAGTTGTGGTCTCCATGACAGTGGGGGAAGGTGAGATGGATGCTTAGCTGACTTTTCCAGAAGTAACAGCAAAGTTGCTCTTCCTTTTCCTCTCAGGTGTTGAAGAGGTGAAGGGAAGGTGACAACAGGAAGAGATGGAGCAGTCTGGACATTGTAGCAAAGCAATTGGCTGTCTTCTCTCCATAGTATTTTGTTTTGGGGTGATAGACCATAGCAATTATTGTTGACCCAAGAGCCAGCTAAAGCAAAGAGAGATCTGATGGGGATTCCTGGCAGAATTTTAGACTATAAGAGATTGTTACTAGGCCAGGAATCTGGAATCACAAAGATGGCTTCAAGAATAGGTCAGGTCAGAATACTGTCTCCCTTTAGGTAAGATTATTAGATTGGATAGTTTAAAGGAATGTTGTAAAAATGTACCTAGATGTCTGCGAAGAAGTTGACAAAAGTCAATCATGTGAAAGCTGGTTTAGACAGTCGTACAAATAAATGAATTCAGAATTGGTCTAAAGCTGGACCCAAAGAAGGGTCATTAATGATTCAATGCAAGTTTGGAAGTAGGTCCCTAATAGAGTGTGTCAATACTCTGTGTTTCTGAACATTTTTATCAGTGACTTGATAAAGGCACAGAAAGCGTGTTTATCAGATTTGCAGATGACCCAAAGCTGAAAGGAATGGCTAACAACTTGAGTTATGGGGGCAAGATCTAAAACTCTTGACAAGGAGGTTGAGCTGACCTCAAACTGATAGGAATAAATGGAAAATCTTATATGTGGGTTAAAAAAAATCAACTTCAGAGTTCAGGATGGATCATGAAGGAGACAACATGGCATAGGGGAAAGAATACAGAATTTGGAATCCAGGTAGAGCTCAATTTGGCATCTCGGTTCTAGTATTTACTACTCATGTGGCCTTGGAAGAGTCACTTAAATCTCCCTTGCTCTCAATTTTCTCATCTGCAAAAGGACCTTCCAACTCTCAATCTTAATGTGTGATCTGTGTGGTTTTGTTGTGGTTCATATGAATAAGATCTGAGGGCTTTAGTGGATTGTAAACTCAGTGTAACTCAGTAGAGCAAAGAAAGAGGTAAATCTTCTAGAAATAAGGAAGTGATAGTTCCATTGTACTCTGTCCTGACCAGACTGTATGTGGAGTATTGTGTTCATTTCTGAGTGCTACATCTTAGGAAGGGCATTAATAAGCTGTAGAGCATTGAGAAGAGGGCTACCGGGGTGGGAAAGGGCCTATACCCTCTGCCATATGAAGACTGGGGAAGAGCTAGCACAGTTTGGTGGATAGAGTGCTGAACCTGGAGTCAAGACAACCTGCATTTGAATCCCAGTTGAGACAATTACTAGTTGTTTAAGACCCGGGGCAAGTCATTTGATCTCATAGGACCTCATTTTAAAAATCTTCAATTCAATGTAATATACTTTTCTTAAGTGCCTACTATGTGCCAGGCACTGTACTAAGTGCTGGAGATGCAAAAGAAGCAAAACTCAGTCCCTACCCTTAAGGAGCAAATGGAATGGATTCAATGGCCTCCAAGGTCCCTTCTACCTACCACATTTTGGTTCTGTGAACTGGAGATGTTCATTCAGTGTGGAGAAGATGATATGGAAGGGGAACATGATGGATAAATTCAGGTTTTTAAAGGTTTTCAAGTGGAAGAGTTAGGGCCAGCTAAATGGCTCAGTGAGTAGCACTGGGAAGACTCATTTTCCTGAGTTTAAATCTGACCTCAAACACTTACTAGCTGGGTAACTCAGTTTGCCCCAGTTTCCTCATCTATAAAATGAGCTGGAGAAGGAAATGGCAAACCACTGCAGTATCTTTGCCAAGGAAACCCGAAATGGGATTACAAAGAGTAGGATACAACTGAAAAGACTGAGCAACATGTGGAAGAGGGGTTCAACTTTTGCTTGGCTTCAGATAGCAGAACCAGGAACAGTGGGATAAAGTTGTAGAGAGGCCTTGATACCAAGAAAGGTCTCCCTAAAGAGAACTGTTGAAAAGTGGAATGGACTGACTGTCTTGGGAGATAATGGACTTCCCTCCACTGGAGGTCTTCAAGCAATACCTGAGGGGCTGCAGAGTATTCTTGTTTAGATATAGGTTGGCCAGTTGGCCTCTGAAGTCTCCTCCAACTCAGATTCCGTGAACTTATGGAAGAGAGGCAGCATTATATAATGGAAAGAACATAGAATTTGGAGTTGGGTCCTGGGTGCAAGTCTCAGCTCATCAAGCCACTTAATCTTAAATATCTTCAATTATAAAATGAAGATTTTAGATTAAATTAACTCTAAGGTCCCTTCCCATTCTAAATTTCATAATAGGCAGTGAAGATGCGCATGAATTCAATGGCATTTTAGAAGAGGGAAACTTCTTGTCTTTTATTAATTCAGACAAACATTTATTAAATGCTTACTATGTAATAGTCCCTACTATCAGTGCTTGGGACTACTGAATTAGCATCCTAATACTACACTAAAACCTGTAATTTCATCACTGTGGGGAAATCCCTCTATTAAAGCTGATCACCAACCCCCTATGATGTAAGAGTTGGTCTTCAAGAGTTGCTATGGCCAAAATGTCTATGTCTGTGTCTGTGTCTGTGTCTGTGTCTGTGTCTGTGTCTGTGTCTGTGTCTGTTTCTATGTCTATGCCTGTGTCTATGTGTATGTCTGTGTCTGTGTCTGTGTCCATGTTCATGTCTGTGTCTATATCTGTGCCCATGTCCATATCTATACAGACATATATACACACATATGTACATATATATGTACACACACACATGTATGTGTGCATTAACTATACAGTCTTCAAGAGTCATCTCCACACCAGGCATTGGAGTAGGCCTTTAGCTCAGGGACCAGGGTCACAGTAATGAAACAGACTCCGCCCTCAAGGACCTACTAGCATATGGAATGCATGCCTTGTTCCTCTCTTACTCCCCCTCCCTCTCAGGACACAAGCCCCC